GGAGGAAGACTGCTTGTAGAGGGTTCCGTATGATGTCGTTTATTTACCGATTCTTCGGTGTCCTAACGGATGATATCTTTGTGAAGCTGTTCTCAGCATTTGTGCGACCCCAATTAGAATACTGTATCCAGGCTTGTCCACCTTGTCTTGTAAGGGATACAATAGAACTGGAGAGGCTTTTGCGAGTGCAGAGATTACGAGGGTAAACGTATCCCGAACGTTTGCTTAGCATCGGTATGTACTCAATACACTACCTCAGAATTAGAAGAGACTTGATCCTCACTTACCATATCCTAACGGGTAAGATCGGTCCAGACTTGTCCTGGCTATTTACTCCCTCCAAGCTGCCTAGTCTCTGAGGTCACTCGTTGGAACTGCACAAACTATGTTCTGACCGGGTAAGGACGGAAACTCGCTTGTCGCGCCGGGTTATTGAACGTTGGAACTCGCTTCCATAGCGCGTCGTTATGGAGTCTGCGGTTGAGGGTTTCGAGCGTCAGATGCTCTTGGGCGGCAGTACCAAACCTTCTCCTTCTCCTAAGCGACTTGTATCTCCAACTTCCCGGTGTTTTTTTAAATTTCTTCTCACATCTTGGTATTGTCCTAATTTAGCTGACATTCCTCTTGTTTTCCTAGGTTACCCTTCACTCTCTTACTTCACCTAAACCGTTCTGGCAGGGACTGCTGGGCAGGCAAATGTGGGCCGTAATTGTTTGGACAGGGTGTGATGCGGTCATTGTTTTAGGTTTTTCAACATCTCAAGCAGACTTATCAATTCCCGATCCCACGATACGCAAAAGAAGGAACATTCACGGGATTATTCTATCGTTCCGGTCCCAACTTAACTTGAACTAATTATCTGAAATACTTTGAAAGGCTTGAAGGAATTTGACCCCGAAAAAATGACTTCATGTGCTTGCACGATAGCTAGTAGCGCTTGCTTCCACCAACTAAGTGTTTTCTATAGAGGACAAAGTGGTTCTCTGCGACTCTTCAACGTATAAATCAAGCCTCGACGATAGTGCTAAGCATTGAATATCAGGGGAATATGTGTGAACTATATTGGGTCGCCGCTTTTGTGGCGTTTCGCATTTGGGGAAGGTTATCATCTGTCTGAAAAAATTACAGCTTAAATAAACGTGCCCTTTTCGCTTTTCCGCACGCTCTATGGGACACGTTACGTCACTGGAAGGAAGTTCAGAGTACACCACAAGCCTCTCCTCAAGCGTTTTAGCTTCCGCGTAATCATCTGAAAATGGCAAAAGATTAGGTTGAACTGATTCCTTACCGGTTGTTCGGTGACATCGCACCTTGTCTACACGCGAGGAAGTTGGTGCAGAAAGATTGTGCAACAACAGGCTTTGCAGCTGACGTGAAGATAACTTGGGCCACAGCACCTCTGTGTCGCTGCGCATCCATGAGGTGTAGGCCACGGCCAAGGTGATCCTATTTCCCCACTTCTGTTCAATTTTGTTGTGCATTCTATCATGGAGTGTTTCCTTGCGGAATCTCACGATGTAGGCGTTGAAGTGCTGCTTGGTGAAAAATTAGTTTATCTTGCTTATTCGGACGATATCGTCTTGCTTTTCGACTATGTTGCAGCGGCACAATTATCCCTGAATAGCCTGTCTAAAGTGGTCCCATTATTTGGCATGCACTTCGCACATTAAAAGTGAAAAGCGTTGCTATTGGACCACCAGCCACTTTATGACCCCTTGATCCTTGCTAACGAGGAACTCGATGTAGTTGATCAATTCACTTATCTAGGCAGCTGCAGCAACAACAATGCACGCATAGAAACTGACGTCAGCTCACGCATTGCAAAGGCCAGAGCTGCCTTCTTGAACCTAAGGCATCTGTGGCGACAGAAAGGAATTTTCCTCCGTCTGAAAGGCCGTGTATACAAAGCCACAGTGAGGGCCGTTCTGCTGTATGGCAGTGAGACTTGGACCCTTCGGTCTGAAGATCTAAAGCACCTTCGATTCTTTGATCGTCGTTGTCTGCGAAGCATTGCTGGTGTCGGATGGCACCAGCGTGTCCGCAATGATGATGTACGTAGGCGAGTACTAGGTAGTGATAATCATGCTAGCTCCCTAGAACAACAGATAGCACTGAATAAGTTGCGTTGGTTCGAGCACGTGCTACGTATGCCTGGTCACCGCTTACCTAGGAGGGTCTTGCTCAGTCTACCAGGTGTAGGATGGCGCAAGGCTCGAGGTGGACAGAAGTTGACTTGGCAGCGGGAAATGAAGTCACTGACGACCAAACTGGGTGCCGTTGATCCGTCTCGCCTTCCGGGCTGGAGTTCACGTGACTCGTCTTGTTCTTAGCTCGAGACTTTACAGGACATGGTTCACAACCGATACCAATGGCGCATCTGCTGCTGTCTCCTAATCGGTTTGCCTGTGTAACGGGTGTTTGCTGCTGAGTTATCTGCGGGGTAGTGGCAGCTTATGACGCGTGACAGTGAAAGCCGCAAGAAAGTTGTCTCGCCGATGCCGCCTTATCTTTGCACGATAGCCAGCTGTTTGTGACAGTGTGTTGTCTACACAAGATGTGTTCGCCTTGACCCTGAATGTTTGCTTAGGTCATTAAGGTTTTCAGGTAAGTCCCGCTTCTCTCCCTCTTCTTAATCTTTATTTCACAGGTCGTCATGGTTGTATGGCAGCGAAGCATCAGTTCAGATGACTGATGTACTGCTGTTGAGGATGATGATGGCCACGGCTACCGTCGCATCGTCGAATTCGATAACACCATACATCTGGGAATGGTAGCAAACAATGCAACTATCAATCGGAAGCAGAACGCAAAGAACGTTCTAAAAAACCAGATCACCTCCATGTATGTGTTATTGGATAAAATGCAATGCCATGTTCGCTAGGCAGGGCAAGGCACTTGCAGCTTACAGAGATCGCGGAGATCGATTTTGCTTTAAGAGAACCTCTGGTGCATATATATATATATATATATATATATATATATATATCCGTACATCATTAGAGGGCACGAGTTGTTTGAACGGCGGCGGTCGGTGAGTTGGAACATACAGTTCATCCTCGCGTATGCCCACTGAAATACATGGCCGATCCGCAACCATAACTGCGTTGTTCGGATGTACGTTTATTATAAATACTCGGCATTGTATTAACTGTAAGCAGCTGGTTCCTCGATTGGACAACTTGATCGAACGAGGGCCTTCATGGTATTCAGGAGAGGCAGTGTTGGTTAAAAGTAATCTCTCAATAAGTGCGAAATACCTGCAATTTAGGCAAATTAGGTCCGCTAACAAGTTGTCGAACTTGACGCAGATGCGATTCGAAGGTAAACTCTTAGTAATCGTCCATTGGGCTATGCCGCTGCACATCGTTGCACAATTGTAAGAGACAGTGCACTTTAAAAATCAGCTCTTTCACCCCGTATATAGCGGCAATCTGACCTATGATGTCGGGCAGCATCTTTCTTACACGTTTCATGTAGTAGCTACCCCACTGCTTTCTACAAATAGTGTAAACCGTGGACAGGTTGATGAAGTTTTCGTACGCTTTGTCTTTAAGGATACCCCTTATAGCGACTGTTCCCAGATAAAGCAGAAATTGCCGGAATTCTGTGGCTTTCTATCTATCGACGTCTGCGAACGCGCGGCATTTTTTCAAAATATCAGTCATACGACTATTAGAACCTAGCAGGAGGCGCTCAGCTGCTCTTTGTACCTTAGTTTCCGGTATGCTGATGCACCCGGGTGCGCACTTGATCGCCCACATGATAACCCGCTTCATCACCTCAAGGCATAGCTTATGCATGTAATCGATGGGAAGCATGAGCTCATGTCTATGCGCAATTGTTCGAAAAGTGAATCGCCGACATGATGTTCCGATTGACAGTCATTGAAGTCATCGTTTTTACGCTTGATAGCACCATTGTATACAGGTAACGTCATGCGCTCATGCACATGCACTCCTATATGGCGTAATGATACTAATCACATACGTACCGACAGTTGTACACTTTTCACAAGCGAATTATCTGTAATGCTGCTTCAGCTGTCGTATATAAACACGTGCTGGAGCATCCGTAACAAAGCAGACAAGCGTGCACCGAATACATGGACCGGTAGCTGTTAGGCGACCACAGTCTTCACAGTTGGCTGCAGACTCACGTACATCTAGTGGTTTACCGTATCCGCAATACAACTCAACCACAAATATGTCTAACTTAGGACAGATCAATCTGACTAATATTGGCGTGTTACTAGAATTGTCAGGCTCCTTCCAGCGACGCAACTTGTTCCATGGAGCGTACCGGAAAACGTCAGATGTATGTTCAAATGATGCTCAGCTTATTTTCAGCATTCACGTCCGTTTTCCGGAGTGCGAGACTCCAGTTATGAAGTCGTGTCCGTACACCTCATACAGTGTGGACGTTGATTACTCACTCCGCCAAGATTACAGCTGCGGGAATATTCACCAGATAGTGACCAGGAGAACTTGGTCCCACTGAACTATGCACCGGTGATGTCCAGGCAAGTGACATTAAATGCCACATATTGTTAGCCTCATCTCTCTTTCAGACCTCAATGCCAAAGACGCATACGGATGAATGAAGTTGTAGTCTTAAAGGAGTTAGCAGTGTGACAAGTAACCCTTATTATGCCACAATTGTCGGACTTTACCATCTGACCTCTGGATTCGTCAGAATGCGCGAACACGTTCATCCTCTGGAGTTGAAAATGAGCTCCATGGATCGACAGATGGCCAGCGACAGAGCAGGAGCCGTTAGCCCAGTCCCACTACCGATGAGCTCCGTGGAAGAGCTCATCACCCTTAACGCGCGGCTGCAAAGCCATGACAGTATGCAGATAGTAATGCGCATATTGATATATCATCTTTTTAGATGGTTTACTTCGCGAATCTCGGTGGCAAGTCACTCGCAATGCATGCACACTATCATGCAATCTTTAATGACAAATGCGCTGGTACGCCAGGTAAACTGGCGAGGTGTACATGCGAACCAGCGGGTCTCATTTGGCTCATTCTATACTTGGTAAGCTGCGTTAATTACGGTGAACAAAATCGTTATAGATGCGACCATGCGCCAAGCCTTCGCGGGATGCACGGAATCCCTGATGCTGGACGAGATTCGGCGATGGATCCAGCGTAACAAAGAACGTGGAACTCCATCGGATTTCCAGTACAACACCGATGATAGGTGATAAAAGATTGCAACTGTTGAGCACGAAATATACGTATCATATTCTGGATTTTGTTGCCTCGTTTGCCTCTCTAAGCTGACGGAGATTGCTTATCCTGGATAATAGCGGTCAGGCTGCTGCCATTTGGACTGCGTGCATCGCGTAGAAAGATTAGCAGATCTGATTACTGAGCGCCCGAAATTTTCCGTAAAATTTAGCAATTTCGAACGCCCATCGCAAGCTTCAAACTCTTGTAAATTAGAAGGATTCTGGTTCATTAAGAGCCGGTTCGTGCAGACAACTGCGTTGGTCATAGAATTGTATTACAAGTTATACGAAATGGGTCCCCGCGACTAATGAAAAGCGAACGCTGTTCGCTACTGTAAACCCGAAATGGAACTAATTTCGGGCGCCCGGAAAGGGCTGCAATTAACCTGTACAAGGGAATAATAGTGTGCGCTGCGGCATGCTTTCGTGCGGAAGAGTTCGACAGGCGTATAAATTAGTTCTAAGTTGTTGAAATAAGTTATTGGCGATGGAGGTAATGCGAAAGCAACATTGTACTATGCCCCCGAATTTAGTCCAAAATTGAATCCATTTCGAGCACAAGCGACCGCCCGCAATTTGTGTCACCGGGAAGAATTTCGGGTGCCTATCAGCCGTTGGTGTTGGCAGGATTAGTTAGAACCCCGGTCCGTCATATGCTACTAAGGATCGTAGTTAAACTGCTTGAAAAGCTGGTGAGAGATTCGTTGGAAGATCACCTGAATAGATTTAATCTACTCAGTAGTACGCAACACGGATTCCGGAAGTGATTTTCGTGTCTAACGAATTTGTTGGTTGCTCGTGTAGCTTGACCTATGGCAGTGAACAATGGCCACGTAATGGGCTTGCTTTTCGTGGACTTCTCAAAAGCATTTGATAAGTTACCCTACTTGAGACTGTCACAAAAGCTGAGCTCTTACAATGTATCTGGCCGCGCCCTTCACTGGGTATATGCATACTTGCAGGGAAGAGCAGTGTGTACGCGTAGGTCACAGTTTATCCTCTAGGCATGCCGTCCTTAACGGTGTCCCACAGGGTTTGGGCCGATGCTGTTCTCCATCTACGTAAACGATCTCCTTGGGGAGCTTGGGGCATCATCCCTATTGTTTGCTGATGACCTTAAGCTGTGGAATGTTGTAAATGTCCCTGGGGGTTCTGAGGCTATCAGCATGCCCTGGACAGACTCTGGGACTGGTCTATTTTGTGGCTGCTGCCCATTAATCAGGCTAAGTGTTCCGTCCTTCGTATAGGAGCAACTTTCCCGCCTTCGAAATATGTGCTCGGTGGGGTCGAACTCCCCTTGTCTCCAACCAGGTCGACCTAGGCGTCGTCCATTCCTCGTCTTTGCATTCTGGTGACTACTGAAAGAAGGCCGCTAGTAGGGGTTTCAGAATGTTGTGGTTAATACGCCGTTCTTTCGGGGTCTTAACTTCCGACATCTTCGTGAAGCTGTTCTCAGCTTTCGTTTGGCCGCATCTGGTATATTGTGTCCAGGCTTGTCCTCCCTGCTTTGTTCGGGACAAAATGGCGCTCGAGAGGGTTTTGTGAGTAGGTACCTAGTTGGTCGAGGGGTTACGGGTGCAAACGTGCCCCAAGCGTCTACTTAGCTTGGGTATGTATTCAATGCACTACCGACGGCTTCGAGGTTGGACCGGACTTGAGCTGGCTATTTAGCCCTGCTATATTGCCTTGTCTTCGTTATTTCGACCGGATCAGAGCGGAACTCGGTTGTCACGCTGAGTTATGGGGCACTGCAACTTGCTTCCAGAAAGTGTAGTCAGTGAACCTACGGTTTTGAGCGGCAACACGAAACCTCCCCCTTCTCCTGACCATATCCATTTTCCCACTGAGTTCCTCTTCTATCATTCCCATTCTTTGGTGTTATCCTTCATTTAACTAACTTTCCTTCTTCTTTATCTTCCGTTTTCTTTCTACCTCTTACTTCACGTGACCTGCATAGCGGGGACTGCTAGTGCAGGGAACGTGGGCAGTAATTGATTGACCAGGGTATGGTTCGGGTGTTTCGTTTAGATTCATCAAGACCTCGTAACACCTTGTTCTTTCCTGGATCAACGATCCGCTCAAGAAGCAACACAAGAGATTTTCCTGCCGTTCCAGTTCGATCTGAATCTGTGTGTCATGTTTGCACAATGACCATCGCATCTCTGTGCTCTCATTAGATTACGATTCACGCAGGGTCCGAGCTGCGAACATTTGGTACGCTGGCTTCCACTCTGTTAGAGCCAAGGCAGTAAGTTTTCCACGCATCATCTCGCCGGATGATGATATACCGACGTCTTTGGACACCTTTAGGTCCTTCCTGTCTATTATATCCCTCCCCACATCCTTTTTCGGTGAAGGTTATAGAAGCAAATCCACCGTGGTTAGACTCAGTTGCACACTAGCTACTAGACAGATGGGCGAGATTCTGGCGGATCTACCATACAACTCTCTCGGAATGTACTATTCGGCGTTATCGTGAAGCGCGAAATGCTTGCAAGAGTCATTTACGAGCTGCTAGACTTAGCTGCGTGATTGTGCTGCTTAACTCAGTTTCCTCAAACCCCGGACGATTATTCGCCTTCGTCAAAAAGCGTAGTAACGTTGGCTCATTCGTCCCCGTGTTATTTGGCAGCGACGGCGCCGCTGTTAACACTGATCGCGAAAAATCCTGTCTACTCAGTGCGCAATATGCCGAGACTTTTCTTCAATTGAAAGGAATTGCCGCATGCTGACTTAGCGATGGAGTCCCGCAGGTCTCCTGTTTAAGACTACTCAATTTCGAAGGCACATGTTCTCCATCTTCTTCAGGGGCTAAATCCACTAGGTTGGATGATATTCACCCAAAGCTTTTTTACGACCTCGCAAGCGAAGTATCTGATCCACTTGCATTTTTGTTTCAGTTGTCGCTCCACAGCTGCTCCTGGCCTAAGGATTTTAGGGATGCTATCGTCTGCCCGATTTAGAACAAGACGACAAGCATCTCCGTGCTAATATAGACTGGTAAGTTTGATAAGGGTACTAGTAAAGTTGTTGCAGTATTGATTGAAGACTATCTGCGGGAGTTTGGTCTGTTCAGTCCAATTTAACACGGTTTTCCTAAGGGTCACGCCTGCATGACTAATTTGCTGGTTGCACGTGAATTTTTGGCGGATGCTTTGGATCGGAGTCATGCAGCAGATGTACTGTTTATTGACTTCTCCAAAGCATTCGGCACTGTACCACATTCTCGCCTTTCCTTGAAGCTTCGGTTCTATGGTATAGCAGAGCGTGCTCTAAAATGGATCTCACATTTCTGGAAGGGAGATGGATGTGTGTTTGTGTTGGGTCTAGTCTGTCCGTCACTCAGTCCTTAGTGGGGTCCCGCAGGGTTCGCTGCTTGGCCCATTGTTATTTTCCCTATGTGTCGATGAGTTGCCCGACTGGTGGGCGTACATACTCTCATGTTTGCAGATGACCTGAAGTTTTGGTACACAGTGTCTGACCTCGATTTACCCCAGACTCTGCAACGGACTGTCTATAAACTTTGGGACTGGGCTGTTCTGTGGCAGTTTATGTAAAATGTTCCGTTTTACGATTATGGCCAAATGGCCTCAAACGCGTTACCTGCTTGGCGGAAAGGAACCACAGCATGTTTCCAAACTGGTGGACGTATGGGTCACGTTGTCTTCATAACTTAAATCTAGTGAGAACTGGAGGAAACCTACGTGCCAAGGTTTCAGAATCTTGTGGATGATCCGCAGGGCATTCGGGACTATGACGGGTAATATGTTTGTTAGGTTATTCTTAGACTTTTTGGGCCACACTTGGAATACTGCATCCAGGCTTGTCTACCCTGCTTGCTCAGGTACGGGATATCAGTGGAGAGTGTTGAGAGTTGGAACTAAAATGGTTCATAGACTATGGAGCGTTTCTTACGCAGCAAGACTACTTAAACTGGGAATGTTCTCAGTTCATTATCGTCACTACCGAGTCGACTTAGTTTATCTGGGTTTTTCCAACCAGCTCGGCTTCCATCACTCCGAGGTCACTCGATGAAGCTACACAAACCTCGGTCGGATGGAGTCCGCGCGGATTTACGTTTATCACACAGAATAGTGGATTCCTAGAATGCGCTCTTATTACTTTCGTACTTCTGTTTCTTATTTCACCTGACCGGTGCGGCGGGGACTGCCATTGCAGGTTGCGTGGGTTTTAACTGGTTGACCGTGGTGTGATTCACGCGTGCTGATCTGACACTTCTTGATTCCGATTATCGCAGACAAATAATATCCCAAATCAACGACGCGCCACGGGAATTTGTCCTACTGTTCCAGTCCCACTTGAAGTTGAACTATCGTTCAAGTTTCAGTACATGTACAGCCGGAGCGAGTACAAAAGTTGGCGATCCCAGGATTGGAACCCCGGCCGCGTGGATGATAATACGGCACGCAGGCCACTAGCTTATACATCGGTTAACCGTGCCCCTTAAAATTTAACTGAAAACCGTCAGTCCGTCGGTAGGAACATTATCCACTACTCCATGGATGTTGTAACGAGACGCGGGAAAATGATTAGCCACGGTGATCAATGTGTTCACTGCATTTTCTATTTGCTGCCACCACATTTATAACCCCTTTCTGTATGAAACGAACCTGCTTATGCACTAAAATACGCTTAATTTTCAGTTATCACCTAAGGTTTCATGTATACCGTAGCAACACTTTCTCCATTCTTTTGTTCGCCGGAGGCGAATCCGGTGGTCCTTATGCAGATGATCTCAAACTATAGTTAGAAGTAACTAGCCTTGAGGACACTGACAGACTAAACGGCGCTAGACCAGCTACTCAATTGGCCCATCAAGTGACAACTACCCGTAAACCGCGAGAAATGTGCTGTTCTCCCGATTGATAACCTGGATTCCTTCGGTGCATACAACATTGGCGGATATCTTCTCAAGAATGTCAGGCACGAGAATGATCTAAGTGTTGTA